CTTGGCGACACTCATATCTGTTATATGATTAGCTGTACTAACTGCTAACTGTAAAGTGCTCTATATGATTACATACTTTTCATGTAAGGTTAATAAAAAAAAATAAAAAAAAAAATAAAAAAAAAAAAATAAAAAAATAAAAAATAAAAAAAAAATAAAATTGATTAATTTGACATTGTTATAGTATAGCCAATCAAAATCATGAATCTGCCATGCGCTAGGTCGAACTTTAAAGAACATGCCTGTGCTTTCGCTCCTGAATCCTACGCGCACTACTGCACTAATAAAATTTTTTTTTGTTGAGAATTTTTGGTACTGGATTACTGAAGTAAAAATTTTTGGCAAAGGTGACGCGATATAAAGAATCGATATAATAAAGAAATTTAATTTTACAATATTAAACATCAGTTCGATATAATGGAGTATGCATGATGTTTTCATGGTTATTCTCAGCTCAATTACATCATTATAACGAAAATCGCTTAATTTTGTTTTCATTCTCAGCTTATAAATCAAAAACGAATGATTCGTTTTCTCTAAAACTATTTAAGTAATATTGAATTAACCACATGCAGGTCATTGAATAAGGGCCTTAATAATCACATGATTTCCTTTTGGTAATAGCCTTATATTCACATGGTAAATATAGAAATATACTGGTAAATATTGTGGCGATCTTCTGCGATCAATTTTTTCTACATTTATATATTTTTAAAACAGCACATGTGTCACGGCAGATACTTAACGTTTTGGTGATCTATCAGTCGTCACCTCGAGCAAATTAATAAAAATTTTTGGGGGTATATACTTCTTATTTTTTTTCATCCCCACAACTTCCGCCGATTGTACTTAAAAATTTACTTTCATTTTTTTTTTTCCTAAAAGTATTATATATGGCTGAAAAAAACATAGTCTATGATCATTTTGCAGAGGATCATAACTGTAAGTCATTTAAAAGGAACTCTAGTTTTTTTTGGTGGGACTTTGAAAGTAAAATTTTTTATATTATTGAATAGACGTCAGTAACAAAAAAAGAATAAGCTTATTTGTTGAAAGACAAAGATCTCAAATTGACGACGACGAAGAATCTATAACTATATCACGGTTTTCGCAATGTGTGTTAAATATATTTGAATATCTTCAGGTAAATATTTGTACTTTCCGACAGCATAATAGCTTTTTTACAATTGTGCATTCTTAACAACCCTTAAGAGTTAGTAGTGCACTAATATGACTTTTTAATCCAGGAAACATTATCAATAGCTTTGCCTTTACAAGAAGAAAATGAGTTCGAAGAA